GACAAATTTAATTTCGTAGTAATTTCTCAAGTTATATTTATCCGTTTGCTTCAATTAGTACCTTTATTTTTTCTTCATCAACTGGTCTTCCAGAACATGGCACATCTTTAATGTCAAAATTGACGAACAAAATTTTGAAAACTAGTTTGAGACTGGTGTACTGTTAATACATTTTCTCCAGAGACTTCATATAACTTTTTTCTTGCCTGAATAGCATTCTTATCTTTTTGATAATAAAAAAATAAAATATGCCGAAAATGCTTCTTTTAGTCTTGCATCTTTGATATCATACACGAAAAAACAAGCGTACAGAAACAAACGAATTTTTATTATTTTTATAATAAACCATGAAATGCAGCTGTTAAAATATATAATAACAACACGGTTTAAAATGAAGTTGATTGGATAAACATTCAACTAGTGAAAAAACGAAATTACTTTTTTTAAACAATATGAAACGATATATTGCCTTTATGTATGTTATTTATTTTATATTATTTTTTTATAATATTTTGTTGTGTAGCAAAAATTTTCTAACATCCTAACATAAATTTTCCATTGCAAAAATTTTCGTTATGATATAGTTAATAAATTATTAACAAAAAGTAATAGTCAATCATGTAATCAAATCGCGACAGTAGTAATTGATTATATGTCGCTGATTGAGCATGAATAAATTCAAACAATATATAACAAAAAAAAATATGTTGAATATAATATTTATCGATAAAAAATTATATCAAATTACATCACGAACAATGAATAATTTAATTAATTTATTATGATAACATTGTGATAACATATAAAAAAACCAGTAACATAAAACTTTTCTAATAAATAAACGATCAGTACTTTATAATAAGTACTTTGGAATAAAAAAATAAATCAGGCATTATAACCAATATTAAATTAAAAAATAATTTATATTAAATAGATAAAATCAATTATTTATCGAAAATTCTTTATTTGAATGAAATTCTTCATTGAAATGTGCTACTCATTAGTTTTTTAATTATTCAAACTAATTTTTGACAAATTTTGACATAACACTATAAATAAATCACAATAAAACATCACTGAAAAATATACACATCATCTCATCGGATCAACATCATTCGTTCACTTCGTTGTACTATCATCAACATTGATCAGCTAATCAGTTGTAATTCAGCAATTTCAGAAGAGATTCTTAAATATCATTAAAAATTTGGTGATTTTAAAAAGCCCTGATTTTCTTATGATAAATAAGATTCCATGTATTCATTCTTTATTGTAACTTTGCTGCTTCTGTATTCTTTTCGAGAAATACTAAAATAAAATAATATTTATTATTGAATAAATATTTTTTAAATCAATTAATAATTAATCGCATTATTTATAATGAAATTCAGATATGATTACGAACATTAATGATATCATCTTCTTTCATTGTCAACATTCTTAACGATCCACAATGACTACACATAACGTGAATGATCCACCTTCTTTGAAATATCCGTATTATATGTAAAAGTAGTCAATCCCCAAAATTCTTTGCTATGTAACTGTTAGAATTTTGACTTTCACTGTTTACGATTTTTTTGAAAAGACTTTTTAAATTCTGACGACCAGATTACAAGAGCTATTATAATTACTCCATTATTGTTTAAAGTAAGCAATGTGTCGAATATTAAATTCAAAAGTTAATCATTGACAAGTTATAAATGATAAAAATTCCATAAAAAATATATCCGTAAAGTTTTAAAAATTGTAGTTTTTTATTACGTTGTCGAATTTTCATTCGTCTACGATTCATTCATTTTTTAATCCTCTACCTTAGTTTTGATATCGTTGGGCTACATCGCGTTTTTATTGTATTTATTGAGCTAATATTCATAACATATTAAAATATTCCATTTCGTATAGTTCATATAATACAATTCACATTATGTAATAATAAAATTAATTATTATAAAATTCTAATGTTAAAATATTAAATATCCGTATGCAAATAGAAGTTCACATATAAAATACAAATGAATTTATAAAGTTTTTGAGTAATTTTTTTTTTTTTTTTAGTTTAACACGTTCGTTACCCAGCGTGATTCAATTGAATTTCTCATAGGGTCCAAATGTTATTGTCGGAAAGATTGTTATTGTCAGAACATAAATAGAGCAATAAATGGAAATATTTTTAATATTTTTATTTTGTATATTTTAAAATAAAATTTAATTGGGGTATATTTATATATATCAATTCTTAGTTTCCATTAACCACCGATTCTGAATCAATTGTTCTCAATGCGTCTATTTTTTCGCTTCATATTTCGTCTGTTTCAACCGTTCGGAGACTTTCCAAGGTCAATCTTAATCCTTTGCACTCGTATGTCGCCATCCCACATTTTATTTACATTAGTAAAATATATATATATAATATAATTACATTTTATGTAATATAACATAATATAACATGATTACATATAATATAATTACATTCTAGAGACTCTTGCTACCTTGATTCTTAACTTCTTAAATATAAATATGAGTTAGCAAAGGATTAAATATTCTGCTCTAAATATAAGTCTTTAATTGGTTATCCAACTTCAACTCAGTTCTATTATCGATGGAAATTCGTAACAACACTCTCCTATATTATCACATACGATATAATTTTAGATTTAAAATTATATAAAGATGCAGAGTAGTTCGCTAACAGATCGTATTTGTCCTTCTTTTCTGTTTCTATTGTTCTTAAATTTCAATTTCAATTTTCTGTGATTCTACTGTATATTTTATATTTATATTTCAATGCTTATTTCATTAAATTTCTTTCAAATTTCCTAAGATCTTATTTTTCATGAACAAGAAGGTGTATCACTCATATTTAAGTGATGTGGCCCTCACGAAAGCATACACATTACTCAAATATGAATGGCGTGGTGAATAATATAAAAATTAACAAACTTTTAAATCCTTAGATTTGTAAGGACGTTTATATTCCCTTCTACATTCATCTCGGCGTGGTATTTCTTCCGAGTCTAATTTTAGCAATTTTCTTTAAATTGAGAATCACATAATGAGGAAACTTGTTATTATTATATATCTTATCGCGGAACTACGATCCGCTGAGATGAATGTTTAGGGAATTTCAAAGAGCACAAAATTCTTAAAAATCTAGCAAAAAACAGAAATTTGTAATCTTTGAAACTGTTAAAAATGAAAACCAGAATTGATTTGTGAAACAACCAAATAGTTTAAATTTCATTTTCAATAATTAGGTTTTAATAATACAAGCAAGTACAATTCCTTTACACTTTCTATATTGTCAATATCAGTTAAGATTGATTTGAAATATATAACATTTTACAAGTCACATTTGTATGCCAAATATTTTGCAACAGATCACTATTGATAGAAGTGATCGCAAGGTTCTTATCCTTATACGTTACAACGCAATTCTGCGAAGATCCATCCTTAGAAATTGCTCTCCAATGCGATCATTGGTTCTTTTTAAGCTTCTTTTTTCTTAATTTGCATTTTCGTTGAAAATAATTTTGGAGGAAGAATCAAAATCTGTGACAGGTTTTGAAAATCATCGAAAAAGAATTCAAATTAGATCGATAGATACAATTCAGTCCAGATAAGATGTAAATCAAAACACAGTTAGATAATCAATCGAGGATTTTATTTTGTAATGCGTGTTTATTATGCGAATAAGAATGGAATACTATAACATTGTTTTGGATATTAATCCAATGCAATAAAAATGCGACAGCGGCGACTTAATAAATAAAGAATTATATAAAATTCATATAATTAATAGCAATAAATTCTGGACTACATATATATAACAGTTAATGTAATGTTTACAGGATCAGAGATGGATTATCCGCGCATTGTGCGATCATTATGTTGATAATGTTTTATCAATGATAAAAGAAGACGCTAATATTAATATTAGCATTCGTAACATTAGCTGCTATTTGAAGTGAGTCTCAGATAACATGATTAATTATTAATTAATATAAAAAATATTTATTTAATAATAAATATTATTTTATTCTAGTATTTCTCAAAAAGAATGCAGAATCAGCAAAGTTACACCAAAGAATGGATACATGGAATTTTATTTAAAATAAGAAAATCGGCCATCAATATTTTTAACATATGGGTAATTCAAAAACTTCTTTTTACAAGATTTCTGTACAAGAAATTCTGTACAAGTGATCAGCTGATCAGTATTGATAATAATGCAATGAAATGATTGATAGATGTGTTGATCTGATGATACAGTATATATATTATTTTTCAGTTTTATTTGTAATTTATTTAATGTTACGTGTAAATTTATCAAAAATTACTTCATTCGTCAATATTAAGAAAGAATATTTAGATAATAATCCAATGGCACATTTTAATATTCAATTTGAATTTTCGAAATTTTTAGTGATTAATTTTATCTATTTACTGATGAATTGTTTCTTTATTTAATGTAGATTGTAATGCATTTATTTTTTTTATTTATATAGTATTGATATATAGTATTGATCATTCATTTATTAAAAAAGTTTTATAGTTGGTTTTTTTATATCATATTAACAATTAATTAGTTTATTCGTTATTCGTGATATAATTCGATATAATTTTTTATCGATAAAAAAATATTTGTTGTATTTAACACATTTTTATGTTATCTGGATTTGTTCGTATTCGATAATATTATTGTTGCAGTTAGATTTCGCGCTCTAAGATTAGTGTTTTTTGTTAATTATTCATTAATGAAACCGTAAACAATGATTTTTTTAAAGGAAAATGTTGTTTGAAATTACTTCAGGAATCTTTAGTTGACGGATCTCAACATTTTTACGACATCTTATATATAAAACAAATGTTTATAATATAGTTCTTATAAAAATGATTGTTAATGAATATTATAATCTTATTATGATATATATTAATGAATATATTGTTCTATTGTTGATCTTATTAATTAGTATAAAGTACTTTTTTTAATATTTTAGGTCAAGATCCCGTAGCCCGCGCAGAAGATCTTTAACCCGTAGCCGCAGCCGAGATCGCCGTTCTCGTTCGGATTCTCGTGACAGACGGTATTAATATTAGATAAATTAAAAGAAAAACTAAAGGAACTAAAAAAAAAAGTAGAGATCAAATTTTATTTGATTGAAAATGAAAAGAGTTTAAAAAAGATTATCTTTGTATATATTTTCTTATTATGAAATATAAAATGAAATATATTTTGATAATAATAATAAAATAATAATAAGATTTATAATCGTTAAAAAAATCGATAAAAACAAGGAAAAGCAAGTGATTTGGAATTCTGTTATATATATTTTTTTAATTAAACGAAATATTCTTGTCTATCTTTTAAATCTCAATCTGTGATATTAAATATTTTAAAATAATGTAGATATAATTTTTTTGTATTTTTTTTTATACTGATATTCCGATTTATAGTAAAAAAAAGATGAAATTCAATTCTGGATTAAATGGAATAAATATTTTCTAAGTGTTTTTCCTATTTTTTTACAGTTAGGTGCTAAAAGTATTCCAGACAATGGATCTACTAAATATGGCAGAAAGAAGATAAAAGAAAACTGATTTTATATGTACATAAAAAAGATCGTTATTATACATATATACAGTTTAACAATGATTATAATTAAAAAAAATAACATTTATAAGAGATATGAAAAAAATATATACACGATGTTTACTATTTCAATTGTTAATTTTGTGTATGTATATAACATGAAAATTAAACATATACACATAAATGCTTTTAAATAACTATATATAATATTTATATAACTATATATAATATTTTCACAGATACATGACATATTATTTGTCATATTATTATTGAAATGCAGGTGCATTTCACACACAAAAAATTTTTTATAATAACCTATACAATAAATTAGATATCTATCTTTTAGATATCTATAAAATGTACTCATTACTTGCAAGTAACATATAAAAATTCGGTTATGAATTTTGATTAAGAGAATTATAGCGATAAACATAACATTAATTGTTTAAATGAACGTGTCGATTTAGAATAGAAACGATTTTGGTGTGAAGAGATACAAAATCTTCGTTTTATGTTGTATTAATAATTTTGTACTCTTATAAATTTAAGATTTTCAAATAAAAAAGTATATGCTATAATTTTTATTAATTTTCCTATTGTGATATTACATAATATTGCATTGGAATTATATTTTTTATCCTATTTTAATATTAATTTAAAAAAAAATGCAATTACATGCATGGTTAAAATTAATCGTATAATCATAGAGCTCAAAATAAACAAAAAACAATAATAATAAAATTGCATTGATAATTAACTTCGTTTTAGACAAAATTCTTTTACACATGCATATGATTTATTCTGAACTGGGTATTACTATCGGAGAATATTTTATATTTATAAATTATAGTATTAATATAGTATTAAATTAACATTAAAAAATGTAAAATAAACTTTTATTTAAGATTTTTATAAAAATCGAATCTAAAAATTTATTAAATTAAATATAATCTTTAAAAAAATTACAAACATTCAGAATTTTCAGCATTTTTTCGTGATAACATTTTAATAATCTAAATATAGGATATTCATAAAAAATGTAGAACACCTTAGAAGAGTGGATATCAAAATGATAAAAAAATTCATATATACATATATCCGATAATTAACGAATTGTAAACATTTTAAGTTTATATTAGATATGGCGGAGAGATGGCGGAATGAGATGGCGGAAAAACAAGAATGCTCAACTAACTATGTGATTAATATTTGCAATATTGCTTATATAGTTTTTGAATAAAATACACTGATATTCTTTTATACATAAATGATTATTTTTGAAAATAATGTATAATGTAAATGTAATGTAATATAAACACCATGTAATGTAATATAAATATCATGTAATATAATTATGCAATATTCATATATCATTAAAAAAATTTACTTTTTTTTACACTTTTAATTATGCAAATTGAAATTTATTTATTATTTTTTATTATTTTATATTTAATTTATTTTATTTAATTGAAACGGACGAATTCCAGAATATTCTGCATTGTAAATACAAAATATTTAATCATAAATCATAGAATCATAGATAAATTATTGTATTACATTCAATTTATCTTATTTGGCAAAATTCATAGAAATAAATCAAAATATACTTCTATAAGTTTTCGATTTAAAAAACTTGAATGTGTTTTTATATGCATAATTGCTTTTTTAATTATTTTCCCGTATATAAGAAAGTTTGAAATATTAATGATACTTGAATCAATTTGAATTTCAAATTATTAAATATAAACTAATCAAATCACTTCACAAATCTTTATTTATCTCATTTCTATTTCTTATTTTTATACAAAGAGAAATAATAGTCGATCTAGATATCACCTTATTAATAATACGAATTAATATTACATATTAATATCATATATCCATAAAAAATATATACATATTACAATTGCTTTTCTTATGTATACCTCGAATGAATATTACAAATTCTAATTTCTTTTTTATACTTTTATTTTTGATACGTTATCAATGATCGAACTGAGATCAGGATCGAAAAAGATCTTAGCAATAGAAAAAATTGTTGACCTAAGTTTGTATTCTTGTATTATATATATATATATATATATAATATAATGCAAACAAAATTCGATTTCGGATATTATTTCGGATATTATTACCTCATTTTTTTCTTCTTTATTTAGTCTCTTTTTCTATCATCCACGATCAGTATTTAATTGTTAGTAACGATATTTAGTAACAAATTGACATCAAATTCAGAGTTTGATGAAATCAAATATATATAAATATGTTTAAAATAAAGTTTTAATAATAATATTTATATAAAATTATATGATAATAAATAATAATCAATTATTGAAATAATTTTATTCAAAGAAATTAATGTAAATAACGAATAAAAATATCGCTAATATATCATAGTAACGTAAAAAAAAGTGCAATGCTTGTACAATTTTTTTAATGGATATAAAATATAGTATTAATGTGATTAAAATATAGATACTAAATTTAGATTATTATTTTTTTTGTTTAATATATTTCATCAGAATAAAAAATAGTGATTCAAATGAGATAGAGAAAGGTTTTTCAATTAATATGTTGATCTATGGATCAAATAAATTCAAATATCATTAATGATTTTCTTATACGTGAGAATAAATAAATTTATATATAAAAAAACATATTCAATCTAAAATCTTATAGAAATATCTTATAGATATCTTATATAAATATCTTATAGAAGTTTTAATTGTTTTAATTTGCTCCTATAGATTTCGGTAGACAGATTGAATGTCATACAACTATTCAGTTATGAATTTAAGTAGTGTTATGAATTAATATTCTAGAATTTATTAAGAAAACTTATTATACAAGGTAAGTTTTAAATAAAGAATAATAATATATAAATTATATATTACACTGAAATTCAAAAATAATCATTTGTGTATAAAAAAATAATAATACATTTACTTTCATTGAAAGACTTTGTTATACAAATGATATTGCAATACAATATTACCGCGCGCCCAATTAAACATTTTCGCTCTTCCATCGTCTCATTCTATTTAATATAAAATTAAAATGCTTTTAACTTATTAATTAAACTTTATCGGATATATATACATGAACTTTTTTCATCGTTTTTATTTAGAATCCATCCTGTATACTTTTATGAATACTTTGTATATGGTATGTTATAATAATTTTTTTAATTAATATATTTTTATTAATTACTAAAGTACAAAAATATACATATATACAAATATATGTATATATTAATAATTCATATTTTCTTCCTTTGTTTTAATTAAAGCCTCTGTCCTTTTTATCATGCTCCGCATATAGTGTTTTATCATATTTTTAGATTTTACATATATTTAGAATTTCTAAATAAATTAATATGATGTATATACAAATGTTTTCAGTAAATTTTAAAATCCTCTTAATAGCATTTATTGGAAGAGTTATCTGATTATGATAATACGAGGATTTTTTATTGTGAGAATAATTATTTGATGGATTTACCTTCGATATGATGTCCTTTTGATATAATGCATATATAAAGATGGAATCTTGTTCATAATATATAATAAGAAATCAATATTATGATTTT